TAATTAATTAATAATCCCCTTGTGTGTGTAGTACACATGAAACATAAAATTAATTATGATCATACAGAATTTGCTAGGAAGGATACCTTTTTAATTATTGGATTGCAAGCCGAACACTTTTTTGACAAGTTGAGATAAGCATGATGTATATATATAGTTAAAATGTATCAAATCTTGATGTGGTTTTGCCTTGTTCTTGTCTAAGAATGTCTTTCATAATTAGCATGTGTGATTGCAAGGCACATGGGTTGTTCTCCTTGGTTTGATCTTTACCAGATTATGATTATTTTTTGTTATTATTGTTAACTAACTTAAATTCCAACAGTCTTATACATATATAAAAAAGAAACTAATATAAGATATACTTGATTTACATGAAGATATCGATTTTCTATAACACTTCTAATATTACGTTTAACTATATGACATCATTTATAATTTATAAGCACATATGGCCTGTGGAATGTAATATCACGCGTTATCGAATATCTTTTGTTGTGTGATTTTTATACATGTCAACTCAATGATTAAACCATTTCATTGTATTTCATTTCTATGCTTGTTTCTAAAAAAAATAAAAAATAAAAATAATAATAATAGTAATAATAATAAAAATTTGGGCAAACTACATTTTACCCCCGAGTTTTGGCCTAATCTACTATAAACCCTTCGAATTTTGATAATACTACTATATACCCCCTGAACAGGGGTTAAACATTGAAATAACTAAAATGGCCATTGTTTACTTACACTTCATGTCCTTTTGTTTTTCTCCTTTTCTTTTTCTTCATCTTTTGACCACTAAAAATGGAAATTACTTAAATGTGTCATTTTTAGATTTAATTATAACATAAGTTAATAAATAAAAATTAATCTATGATTAATTATATAAATTTATCACACTTAATAAAAAAAAATTAACTAATGGACATTTTTAATTTCAGAACATGATATAGTTAATTTTAAAAACTTATAATTATGTGTGTTAACATTAAAAAATTAATGGAGAATATTTTTTAACTTAATTAAAAATTTATTTTATAAAAATATTTAAATTGTATAATTTTAAAAATTATAGACCGAAGAGTATTTTTGACTATTTACACAAATTAATGATTATGTTAATATGATAAGAGGGTATTGATAGGTTGGTTATGAGCCAAGGAAGTATATAATAGTATTATCAAAATTGGAGGGGGAGCGGGGTTATGATAAATTGAGCGAATACTCGAGGAGTAAAATGTAGTTCCCCCTAAAAATTTTGTGGGTTTTGGAAATTTGGGCACATGAAGGTCATGTCAAGCCATCGCTTCGGTGCTACAAATGTTGGGATGAAGCTAGTGTGATAACCCATGTTGTATGTTGGAAGTTGAAAGTAGATGCTGTTCATATATCACATTCCTTGCAGCTCAAGACTAAGATATATAGGATCCTTCCTTCCTGTATGAGCAAGGGATACAACTATCATTCTAGCAGTAAAGTTTGGGGGAAAAAAAAAGGGAAATGACACATTTTCACGTGATGGTATATTGTAGAATCTTTAAGTATGAAACCTTCATAGTTCACAACGTATGTTATAGTTTTTTTTTTTGTGACCCTTTTGTTCACGCGGAGGTATTATCATCGACGATGATCATCCAATAACCCTAGGACACACATTGTAGATGTGGGACTGAACCTATCAAGAAGAATAAGCAATTTCGCTTCAAATTATCCCCGTGTTCTCCGGCAAGGGGGCCAAGTTTAAAGCATGATTAATTCTACGAACTCTGCCAAAGTGAACTGCTCACTCTGGTCCTTAATTTAAGGTAATTTGATATTGTCTAAGGTGTGATTTTAATAAAAAAAAAACTTTTTACATTCGTTGTATTCTCTTGATTGTTAAGAAATATTTTAAAAATTATTTTTTTAATTAAAAATGTGTACTAAATGAAACTTAAAATAAATCAAAATAATTTATATTAAGAAACGGAGGAAGTATTATTATTATTATTATATATATTTATGTATTGTTGGTCTTCGAAATTATTATCGCCAATTAATTTCTTTGAACACAAAATTCTTCCAATTACAATTTCATTCCCGAGCAGTACAAAACTAATTTACCATTTACTAGGAAAAAAAAATAGCTTCCCGATTGCAATTATATATATATATATATATATATATCTGTGTGTGTGTAAATTGTTAAGATGTGTTGAGCCTCACATTGAGCCTCACATCGCCAGCATGAAAAGAAGTAACTCAATATATATAGAAGTTTCAAAAATCATCACAATTATTGTCAAATAGTTTTGATATGGGAGCTCATAATATTTATATATTTTGACATAAATGCTCGATTTTTGAACCTACCTCCTCTTAGTATTTTGAGAAAAAAATAGTATACGATTACTCATTTTAGTATTTAACTCTGAGATCAGGGCCGGACAAGTTTCATTATTTCAAAGTAACTATATTAGCGTCTAAGTTATCCCTATATATATATATATATATATATATATATATATACACACACTACCGTTTAAAATACATGGGAGATAAATAATTTCTTTATATATATATATATATATATATATATATATATATATATATATACACACACTACCGTTTAATATATATATATACACACTACCGTTTAAGTAACTATATATATATATATATATATATATATATATACACACTACCGTTTAAAATACATGGGAGATAAATAATTTCTTTTTTTTTTATTTTAGAAGAAACGAAGAATTTATGCATAAGAATTCCCAATTGATTAGTTTGTGTACCGCGCACAATTATTTTTTTTATACAAATACCTTAAACACTATACTATTACAATAAGTTAGTAAGATATACCAACTAGATCATGTTAGAGCCAAAATTTTACAATACTGGAGGATCATTGTATTAAACAGACCGCGAATAATAAACATGAACACGAATATTTCACAGGGATCAAAACTAGGTGGTCTTTTTTCCCACCTCACAATATCATTTTTGTTTTTTGGAAATCCGAGTCAAAATATCATGGTACAATAGGCGGGCATACATCCTTGTTTCAGAGCAGGGGGAAAATAAAAAGCTAGCAAATTAAATGGCTGGGTTTACGGGAACAAACACCAAAGAAAAGAATTAAAAGTTGAATGAAAATATAGGCATCTGAAATCCTTTATGGGGATCCATCACTATACTTCTGAACTTCCTTCAGTTTTCAGTATATTTATTCTTCTTTCCTCCTAGAGATTGCAGACTCCCCCATACTCATTATTTTCTCTAGGCAAATCTGGGCACACTGTACATGCACCATGGATAAATGTATTGAAGATGATTATTCTACATATTCAAAATTTCAATTTGTAGTATTTGATTTGTTCGTGAGATATGGTCTTAAATGTCGTGACCATCAATTGACAAAATCGAAAGACACCTTAGGAATGATTCATGTCAGAGGGATTTAATAGAAGAGTATATTGATGAACCTTATCCCGTTACTATCTATACGTATATAATCATGAAATTGAAAATAGTACTACTTTGAACGTCAAATATATAACCAATTTTGAAACGGTTTTAAATGAAGGTGAAATTGTTAAAAATACAAAATGAAATGAAATAATAATTGTTGCCTGCCTGTTACTCGTTCACAGCTTACTCGAACATTGAATCGATATCATTATTAAATTTATCGATATAAACATGAAAACTATTTGTGAGCTGATAAATTTTTAATATATAGTTTGGTTGAGATTTTCCTTTTGAGGGAGAATATCCAAATAATTTAATTTAATTGGGACCATTATAGATATGCTTCGCTAGCTAGAGAAGGTGATCAAGAGGCCAAGCAGAGAAAAAGCGATACTCAAATTATATGGGTTAGCATATATCATATAAATGTCAACTAGCTAGGTAGTTATATATATATATATATATATATATATATATATATTACAAAAAAAAAAAGAATTACTGAGAACTCACTCAACTGAATTACAACTAATAACTGAAAGGACCAGCTAATTAGTTAGATCTAATTAATTAATTAACTATAATATAACCTAGTTTTAAAAAGAAAAAAGTTGCTGATAAAAAAAAGGGGATGAGGAGAATTTAGAGCCAGCTCTAAAGAAGGGAATAATGATTGGTCATTTTCCTGGCCCCCAAAAACCCTTTCTTTCTTTCTTTCACCACCCCCGCTCCACCCTCCAGCTTGGGTTTTGGGGAAGAATATGGCTGAAAAAGGAAGGTAAAAAAAAAAAAATACATGAGGGGCCTTCAAAGGGGGCTGGAATCTTGCCAGAGTTTTGGCAGTTTGGCACCACTACTCATTACTCTATCCATACTCCTCTCCTAATTCTTTCCACACATTTTATTCATTCCCAAATTCCTCAAAAATATTTCATTTTGTTGAATAATAAGTGATAAAAAGTTTGTTTATCCGGCACACAAAGTTTGCGAGCATGCATGGTCAGTAATTTTGCAATGTGTGACAATACGAGCAGTAACATTGCGATACAAAACAACATTTCGTACATTTACATTCACTTCTGATAACTAGAGATACATAACTCTTTCAATTACAGGTATGCCCACGTAAATCGCTAATATATTATAGACGAATTCATCATAGTAACTGCGGAAATAGATGACAGAAACCTCAATTGGACAAATTAAATCACATCCTACGTCTGAACGTACAAATTCTTTTCATGAACTTATCCATGTTAGGGTGGTCAAAAAGGAACTAAAACATCTGAAATTTGAAATGTATAGGCTTGGAGACTAGGGTTCTACTGCAGGGATACTACTAGTATTGTCAAAGGATCGATGAGACTTAAAGATGAGACTTGAGAGAGTAGGACAAGTTGCAAAGCCAAAAATTTTAGTGGAAAAAACTTATATGAACTTTTTTTTTCAGTTCTGAACGAAACAATTATTTTGAGACGGAGTAGTATATGGAAATTAGAGAATAAGGATAATGTCTATGTCAAGCTCGTGGGATGGTTAAAAAAACAAAAGAAAGTGCCCTTCACAAGAGGGCTGTATGGCAGACCCCAACCCCTCCATGTTACAACTTCCCCCTCTAACTGTCCCTACCTTTTTTTCCCCCTTTTTATAAACCCCCTTCCTATTAATCCACCTTTCCCAAACACTTACCATCCATCTCTCACTAGTCCTCTTTTTTCTCCATTATTCTATACACTTCTCTTTGATATTCCTCCCTTTTTTCATAGTTGTTTGATTAAATTAATTTGGTCATCCTCAAATTGCATCATCAAAACCGCCTAATTAATAGTACCATAATTGTCTTTTGCAGTTGTGTATATAAACTACTCAACATCCTACCTCATTTCTTCCATTCATTGCTCTTCCTCCTCCTCATCATCATAAGTTAGCATTGATCAAAACTGCACATTGAAAAATCTTTGCTAAAAGAAACAAAAACATACAAAACACCAAAATATGTGTTCTTCCAAGTCTAAACCTCAAGGCAGCCCTACGGCTAGCTTATCCCACATCAATGGACGCCCTGTTTTACAGCCAAATTGCAGCAACAGAAACACCCCTCTTTTAGAAAGGCGCAATTCCCTTAAGAAATCCCTCACAAAGTCTCCTTCTCTGCCATTGATGCAGCAGCCACTGCCATCAACGGTTACTACTACAACAAACATTAGCCCTGAAACTCCGAAACAGAAATCGCCAAGACAGGCAGCTGTTAAGAGAGGGAATGATCCAAACGGGCTGAATTCCAGCGGTGAGAAAGTCCAAACTCCGAGAACCATTACTGCAAAATCACTGGTTTCTTCCCTCAAGAAATCCAAAAAGACTAGCATTAATGGATTAACTAGTAGTAGCAGTAGTGGTGGAAGTTCTTCATCATCATCACCATCATCTTCTTCATCATCATCTCCAACATCATCTTTGGACAATGCTTCAACTTCATTGAAATACTCTTCCTCTGTTATTGTTGAGGCTCCTGGAAGCATAGCAGCAGCAAGGAGGGAACAAGTTGCAATCATGCAAGTGCAGAGGAAAATGAGGATTGCTCATTATGGTAGAACAAAATCTGCCAAGTATGAAGGAAAGGTTCTCCCTTTTGATTCTTCAGCAATTACTACTTCTACCACAGTAAAAGAAGAAAAGAAATGCAGCTTTATCACTTCCAATTCAGGTAATTTTCTTGCAGCAATTTTTATTTCTTCATTTTTTTTCAAATGTAATACAGGGGAGGAGGAGTAATCAAAATTGATTAAAGATCTCACTTTTATCTTCTTTGTTTTGATTGTACAGACCCAATCTATATTGCATACCATGATGAAGAATGGGGTGTACCTGTTCATGATGACCAGTAAGTTTTTCCTTCTAATTTCCGGCCAGACACAATTAATTACTTGAAGCTAGGAAATTCTAAATAAAAAGAAACTACATTTATGATGACTTGTATTAATTTGATTTGTTTTTGTGAATTATGCAGGCTGTTATTTGAACTGTTAGTATTAACTGGTGCACAAGTTGGATCAGATTGGACAACAGTTTTGAAGAAAAGGCAAGATTTCAGGTGGGTTCTAAATTAAATTTGGTCTACTTGATATTCAGAAACTTGGAAATCTCTGTGTTTCATCATCTTGGGAAAAATAAGGAAGACTGTTATCTCATATGTTTGATTTGTACTTACTTTGTTGGTTTTCTATTTCTTTCAGAGATGCTTTTTCAGGGTTTGATCCAGAAATTGTTGCAAAGTTCAATGAGAAAAAGATGGTTTCAATCTGTACTGATTATGGCATAGACATGAGCCAGGTCAGGGGAGCTGTGGACAATGCCAACAGAATTCTTGAGGTAATTAAGATAAACTTAACATGTTAATAATTAGCTAAACTCATAAAACAACTGTACAGTAATATACTTTCGAACTGTCTTTTCCAACATGACTTTTATTTTGCCATATATGCTTTGCCTGGCATCTCCACCATTCCATGATTCATTTTGGCAAATTTTTCCAATCTCTTGCATGTGACACAGTCAAATCATAGCATAATAAAAGAGTTGGAAATAGCCCCCATGTGGATCCACATGCCCTTTTGACAGCACTGAATTCCATATGAAACATTTCATCATCTTGTTGACTTCATGATTAGCATGCTGATATTTTAATGACAAAATTAGTACTGATTACTGATGAAATGAAACGGTCATTTGCAACAGATCCAGAGGGAATGTGGCTCATTCCACAAGTACTTGTGGGCATTTGTGAACAACAAACCAATTGCCACACAGTACAAATCATGCCTGAAGATCCCAGTGAAGACCTCAAAATCAGAGTCCATTAGCAAAGCAATGGTGAGGAGAGGGTTCAGATATGTTGGTCCAACAGTTATACACTCCTTCATGCAGGCAGCTGGCCTTACAAATGACCATTTGATCACCTGCCCAAGACACCTTCAATGTGTAGCATTGGCTTCCCAGCAGAATTAGTCCCAATTTAGTTAGCTAACACCTCATATACAATATAATGATTGATGATGACCCTTTTTTTTCCCTCTTTCTTTTTAAGCTAATGTGTGATCAAGTGTTGATTTTGATTTAATTAATGATGATTTGGGATGATGATTGTGATGGGATAGTTCCTATGGAGGGATAGGAATAATTAAAGATTGGTATAGGGAGGGGACAGGATGCATGTGCAAGGTGGGCAGGCAAATGGTTAAGGGCATGTGTCTTTTGGTGACCACTTTTACCACTACCAAATTATGGCCTATATCTCTCTCAATCTTCAATTATATTGGATGCTTTTCAAAACAGGCTGTGTTTATAAGGGCAAAAGCTTTTTGGAAGAACAGGAAGAGCACTTTTAAGTTTGAGGGGGGCCAGCCCTTCATCATCTCCATTATCTGCTTATCTGCCATATCCAAGAAGAAGGGGAAAGAAAAGAAAAAAAAAATGGTAGCTGATATTTAAATGCTATCTATATATGTATTAAGTTTTTGTTTTTCTGACTTCTGTTTTAGGGGAAGGTTTTAGGTTTTGCTGTGTTGTGCAATAGTGTATGTATCATAATGTAGTGTGAGGTTTTATTGAGTGTGTTTGTAATATTGTTACTAAAAGCTTTCAATATTTTCTTGCTGCCTTTTTCAGGATTTGAGATTGCAGATCAGTATCTTTTTTTCTTTTTTTTAAAAAAATTGCTTCGCTGGATGTTTTGTTTGCTGCATTTTCTCCATTCTGATGATTTTTACTTAGATGCCTTTCGAGAAAAGAATATTGCTTGCACAAGTTAAGCATTTCCTCTCCACGTGCTATCTATCCTTGTTCCGATTAAGTATTACTCTCTTCGTTCCATAATTATTGTCCAATTTTAGTTTTCATTTCTAGTTTAGATTGTACTAAAAAGTGAAATCTCAAACAGAACAATAATTTTGGGACAGAAGAAGTAATATTTTTCAGTTTTTCTGCTTACATTCCAATTTTATCGGATGTCTTAGTTAAATTACTGCTCTTCCTACTCGACATCAAATTCTAATTTCGTTTTCTACCAAAACAATAAAAAATTCTAAATTCGTTCTTCTTCTCAATGATCCTCTGATGAAAATCACTTTAATTAAATTTCACTTAGTACTCTATCCATTCCAGTTTGGATTTTCATTTTTAATTCAAATTTTACTAAAACTAGACATTCAAACTATACAATAATTTTGGAAATAGAAGAGATACAAATAACATGCTAATCTAATTACTATAATCATCTAATGGGTGCAATCTTCAGTTATATTTATGTTTGAAGGGTTGCAACTTTAATCCTACCACTTTAAATTTCAAGCCATAAGCTCAAACAAATTGTTGAAAACAGATGAATGTGAACCTGAAGATAAATTAAGGCCAATTCTTTAAAATTCACCAACGCGATGAATTAGTTGATGATAAAGCTACTCCCTTTAATTAACAAAAAAACAAAAGGATTCTCCTTCACTGTGTAGTTAGGTGAACCAATACATATATATAAGAACAACAACATACTCCCTCCGGTCTTAATTATAAGGCATAACTTAACAAGTTAGTTCAAATTTGTAAGTTGACCATATAGAGTATGAATTATTGAAGATAGGATACTGTCATCTACCGTGGGCTTTAGGCTGGACATATTTATATTGCAGTTTGAAATGCAGCAGTTCAGCACCAATTGAAGATAGGAAACTGTCATCCACCATAGGCTTTAGCCTGGAAAATTATAATACCAGGCTGAGAAGCCCATTGGCGAACTTTGTGGCCTGTTTTGTACATTGAAACACGATTCGAAACCAAAACGAGCTCAAGTTGTTTCCTAGTAAATTGATCATGCCCCTTTTTCTTCAAATGGCAGGGAGGGTTCAATTTGATTGAAGAGTCATATGCATTTTTCAATGCACAAAAGATGCTCCTACAATTATTTAATTCTATCTTCTCTACATTTCTCTTTACTACATTAACATCTCACGACATCAATAAACTTTTTATAACTCACCCTATCTTCAAAATAGTACTCTCTCCGATTTTGTCTTAGGTTTCACCTATTATATTTTTCTAATTGAAAAAAAAATCTTAAAAATATTCCTTAATAATTAGGGCAACATAATGAACGTAAAAATATATTTCTAATATTTTTTTCAATCGAAAAAACATATTAAATAAATTTATGACAGATCAAAATGTCGTATTATAATAAGGACCAGAAGTAGGTAATAAGTTTTAATATTTTCAGAGGGGGTATGTTATATCAGGGCGATGATCTACTAAACCTGCACTTTTGTTTTACGAATCACAAACGGGAGCCCATCCCAAGAATTTGGGCAAAGCCGACAGGACAAATGGTCTGCAATCATCAAACTTTCAAAGCATTACAACTGAACCAGTGGGAGATATGCATGTGGTGTGTGGATAGCCCAATTTACTTCTTTCGTGAAAGGGGAAAAAAAAGGAACAATTTTGAGCCAGGCACGTCACATGTGAATGACAAATAGTAGTAGAAGTTTAGTCCTATTCTTTCAGCTATAAACGATGATACAATCTTTTGTAGACACCATTTATTCCTTCAACTACATTTAGCCATATTTCGGCTTTCGCAATAGAGATGAACATATGAATGAGCATATATAGTCAAATATTTAGAGTGTAAAGGTGGTATACGGTTGAATCACTTAAAATTTACTACAATGTAAGTTTTTTATCATTCAAATTTGTAATTTCAATGCATTGTGAAGTGTATGCGGCGATGATCGTGTTCTTCTCCTTCCCACCAGGCATTGGGCGTATAGGAAACAATCGCAAGGCGCTTCATTATAGAGTGATTACCAAAAAAAAAAGTTGAATTCGTTATTTTGAAAACAAAAATCCATATCGTTGAGAACGTTTAACAGGTTAATTAATGGATTGAGTGTGATACAACCACCATCAAAAATAATTGTCCACTTTGAGATTTTACGTATTATAAATTATATTAAAAATAAAATATTTAAATTAGACAATAATTTTAAAACAACGCGAAAGACTAAATGAAAATGTGATTATATATCTTTTTAAACAGTAAAAAGTCTCACTCCGCCTCGTACCTAGAAAATTTGTTGATATATTCTTAGGATATGGTACCCTATTACATCCATATCATTCATAGCACATCATTGCAAATCACATTATCCATATTCCATAAAAATTATAAAGTAGTATGCTACAAAATTTGGCTTCAGAAATTTATGGTGTAATTCAACCATCCATTTTCGACTTAATAAAAAACTGTAAATCCACTAAATATGATTCTAATCGATAACAAATCCAGAACTGACTGTATATAGAATATGTAGAATTTAATTACGAGATCATCTGAATACTACTTCTACTATTAATTGTTTATTTAACTTCCTTAAATTTGACGGACTATTGACCCTTAATCATCATCATCATTCCACAAAGGAAGGAAAGACAGCAGTAGAATAAAACAACTATGGAATCCATGTGAAGGGGTGGGAGCCCACTTCATTCTAACGGGTCAATGGAGCAGCTACGGCACTGTCGGAACGTCACGCGTGGCCGCGCTATCATTTGCCCTTCCATTAATTGATAATTTTATTAAGATTTTTGTTTTTCACTGGTGACAAACATCCAATAAAATCACCAACCACCTTTCTTTATTTCTTTTATTTTTTCTGCTCTACAGATATTATTATAAGATTAAATTAAATAAAATACCCATCAATGATTATATTTGGTTTAGATTTGTCTGAAAACCATATGATTATTTTAGAATTTATTGAGATAGCTAGAACATGGCGGGACTGCAATAATGCTTTTTTTTTTTGGTTAATGCATGTATGTATTAGGTTTTCAATGCATCTATCTGTATTTTTTGGTACACACTAAAGTACTTGAAACACAAAACATGATCAATAATACGTATTTCTACTTTGTAACTACCATATCTCAGCTTGATTTCTGCTGTTCTAGTTCAATTTTTTTTAGTCAATTATTCATGTCTTCTTAATGCTACTTAACAATAACAATGTACCATATTGTGGTCTCCCTTTATATCATCATTCTGTTTATCTAAACAGTTTTACAAATAAGCCATACCTATAATATCGGAAAGCAATTAAACTCTAATAGGTTGTTGCTTAAGAAAGTTTGTTGTACTCAAAGTTTTGTTACTTCAAATCGTACTAAATGGTTCATCACAAAATTAGCTTTTTCTTTTTCTTTTTTTTTCTTTTTTGTATATATGAGACATTTTCACTTTTCAATTAGGTTCGAACGTCAATACATTTTGTAATGATGATCTCATACGTCTCTTTATATCTTCAAAAGACATGATCAGTATAGAAAGTATGAGGAAGAGAGATTGAAATGCTGTTTTTAGTTTTATTTCCTACCTACATATTTGTTGAATGGGGTACTAAAATTAAACAGAACAAAACGCATAAGAAGGCAGCTATAGTCTTATTGACATCTCGAATTCCATTTGGAAAAACATAGTTGAGACAAAGAAAAATAAGATTATAATTCGTCATACTCTATTCATTTTAAAATTATAATCTTATCGTCCATTAATTGAAACGGAATTTCTTCCTTTTTTTTTTTCGTTTCTGTGACTGACGGTTTATGGACTTCGTGGTCAATATTAATATCACCGATGTGTTTTCCAAAATTAGAACTACCAAAAAAAAAAAAAAATGAAAAAGAAACCCTCCAACCAGGTGCTGAACTCGAACCTTATCAGATCAGAAGCTAACCCGTCCGGTAACAGATTAATAAAGTATCAATGATAATGGACGGCCAGATTCAACATTAGATTTCACTAGTTTTCTTCCTGTCTTTATTGTGTTAGATTCTCCAGTGTTAATGCGCGATGCTTTTTTTCCCTTTTCCCCTTGGAAATGGCATAAGAGATTCATTTTCTTTTATTTGCTTAGTTTTTTTCTTTGAAAAATTACGTTCAAACTAATCCCCAATCAAACGGCCTTTATAGACACAAACATTCTCCTACTAAGTATGAATGCACGTATTGGGATTTCAATTCTTGTCATAATCAAGTTATTTAGTACTCCCTTCGTCCTATAATTATTGTCCAATTTGGATTTTCAGTTTTAGTCAAAATTGTACTAAACGTGAAATCTCAAAGTGGACAATAATTTTAGGACAAAGGGAGTATTTTATCACCTGTGGTGAAATTAGTTTTCCTTTTTTATAAATTCATCCAAGAAAAATTATTATTCTATAAGATGCCTAATTACAGAAGGTTTTTTTACAAAGCCTGAAATTGTATTACTAGTTTAACAGTGGAATTCCGGTAGAGTTACCTGCAAAATAGAGTCTCAGGGGTTTCTCGATGGTAGACACTTTCATACTTAAATTAGAAATAGGGTTATGGAGAAGTGTGTATTCGGTTATGAGTGCTAGAGATTGCGTACCTCCAATATAGTGTGATCAACCTTATTTATAGACATGTAATTACCTTGAAGGATGTTCGAATCTTGCTAGGCTTCTTATTACTGAACTGTCTCTTTAAAGTCGATTGGTCCATAATTGGCGAATAGATCAGTCTAATAACTCTCGGTAGATATGAACTCATTATTTTTGTACGATGAGGAGAGACAGTAATTCAATCTGAATGAAAGGAAACAGGATTGAAGTAGGACGTAGATTGTTTCTTTCCTAGTTCTTAATTTGTTCTTCATGCTTTGCGTTAATTATAGGGTATTTTCCTTGCACTAATATGAGAAGGAAATAAATCCTTCAAATCATATTAGATTCCCTCTGTATTATATATGTGCATGGAATAATAAAAGTGAAAAAACGACGAAGAAGAATCTTATTTTCAGGTCAAACACTTGTCACTTACGCTCTTAACCAAATTAATTCAAGGCATTAATCCAATAAGTTCGTAATAACAAATCAACAAGTCGCCAATTAATGTAATAATTAATCATTGTTGTGGATTAAACACTACCTACTAAGGACACGCTAGTAAAACAATCTTAACAAAACTCTGAAAATAACAACTTTGATACTAACTGGTATAGGCTACTAGTAGTGCTACCGCGTACGTGTGGTGATCACGTAATTTTCTTACAGTAAACAAGAGAATTTCTTTAGTGTCGCGTCTAAATACTTTCATCAATAATTCAAACCATCGTTTTACATTTTATGTGGAGATTTCATTATAACATTTAAATTGAACTATTCAGCTGATGGCCCTAAAAGCCTCCCACCCAACTACAGTTTTTTTTTTTTTTTCCTAGTTTGGTGGAAAAATTTTACAGGATGATGATAACATTATGTGGATTGCTAAATACAGTTTAATTTTATTTCACGCAGTTTATTGATAAGACTAAAATATCCTTAAACCTTAAAGCTATGTTTGGAAAGTTTTTTGAGTATGTTTTTTTGTATTGAGAATGTAAAAAGGTGTATTGAATAAAAAGAAACATTGAGAATGTAAAAAGGTATGATGGGATGTGATAGATATTAATAAAAAATTCTGAAAAAATCATCTAAAAAAGGAACCAAACAGAGAAACTTTCCAACGTTTTATTCTTTTATATTATTTTTTCTTTTTTTTTTCCAATTCTTTTAAATTATTTAATATACAGTCCAAAAATTTACCGATTGTTGATAGTTTGTAATGGTGGAGAATCAAAAAACACGGGAAATGTGTGAAAATAAATAGGAATAAGCGTCCCAATAAATAATTTGTGGGCTTTTTTTGTTTTAAAGGAGATTATCATAACTCGATTATTTTCGTGGCTTGTTTTATTAGAGCAATACTAGCAAGGTTTCGTCTCATCAATCAGATGTCTTTTTCCCAATCTTTTAGGTCTCAATGTTTATAAGGTTAAACTTTTGGGCGAATTTCTTTTTAGTATTTTTTATAAATTGCGCGAAGTAAAATCAAGCACTGTTTAATAAAGAAAAGAGGAAAACAGAAAGATTTTAGGAATATTAAGTCTTGTTTAAACTGTGCGAATTAAAATCAAGTTGTGTTTAGTAATATTCTAAAAGTTACAACTATTGAAATACAATATAATTTCTATAAATTAATAATGTTGGGACCACCGAAATTTATTAATTTAATGAATTTTTAGATAATCGATAAATTAATAAATTATTAATTTAAAGAATTTGTATGAGAAAAAAAACCGGTCAGTAATTTACAGATCTCTTTACATCAGAATCAACCAAGTATTAAAGCTATTCTAAACGTTAATAATCCATACATAGTTTATATCATCTTTATGGCCTAAAAAACAAGTATTACTAGTTCATAGTTTACTAAATATTTATAGTAATTATTATTATTTTTTGTGGTTAGTGTATTTATTAATTTATAATATAGTTGGGACCTATATATAGATATATTGTAGATTTTTTAAAACATTATTATCTAATCATTTTATCGTTTTTTTCACTTTTTGTACTAATCTCAAATTGGGATCGGAAAAAATATTAATTGTTAGAAGTTATTAATTTATGGATTATTAATTTACCCAAGTTTTACTCTAATAGGAGCGTATGTAATCTGAGGAAAAATTCTCTCATCCTTAATAAGTTACTTCTGATACATATTCTTCCTTCCGAGTTCCGCCCCAAAACATAATTTATTTTATTGAATCAAAATATTTGCAATAAAATATGTATTTTTTTTTAACGTAGAGTGTACAATGTCCTGTATTTGTCATATCTTGGGTAGGTTTTATCAGATTTTAAGATTATCATATTCGGAAACGTCAATTAACGACGGCTTGATGTTTTGTCACATTTTGAGTTGTTCGTATGTACCAATAAGGAATACCTAGGATGATTAGTAATCTCTCTGTTTTTTTTAATTAGTCAAAGAAAGAAGCAATTATAACCCCCAATAATAATAAGATTACTCCCATTTTTAATACGAAATTATTAGAAAGACGGTCCAAGTAATTTCCACGTTTTGACTAGAAAGTCCTCTTCTGGGAACCCCCCTCTCTTGATCTCCTCCACCGACGGTCAAGGAACCCGTCTAAAAATTCCTGAAAACAATAAGGGCCAAACTAGGAATTTCACACCCAACGGGGTCCACATGCTGGAATACAGCGTGGCGTTGGAGGTGGACCGCCGCAGGGACAGACGTCTTCTCCAGATTCCACCCGGGAAGACTATTCCCTTACACATTCTCCCACGTGTCACTTTTTCCTAAAATGTTTCTTCTTTTTGCGCTTCACTCCTTCCTCTCCATATTATTCTAAAACATCCCCCACAATAATTTGTTGCGAGGTTGGAAGTATTTTAAATTTGGTGCCATATGGTATGACCGACAAAGGAAAGGAAGAAAAAAAAAGAATTATCATTGAGATGATATGATATCATTCTTTGATATTTATATATATACATATTATTTTAAAAAAGAAGAAGATATTATTCTCTCTAATTAACTATATGTATAATTGAATTACTACATGTATTATTATTATTATTATTATTATTATTATTATTATGTTCTTTTTTTTTTGGATCAGTGAATTATTTTCAATCAAATTTTTTTTGCAAATTGGATTATTCGCAACTAGGGAGATTTCTTAAATTCTTGCTCTCTTATTACAACCCTTTTGTTAGATACTATGTGTTTTATTTGTAATGTGAGATAAGAGTTAAAAGAAAAGGATAGTTTACTTAATTTAATTTAAAATCTCTTTAACCAGAAATTATTGTTGATTTTAATTTTAATTTTAAATTTAAATGGTACTAAGTAAAAATTTAAATGTGACAATCATTTTTGATATAAAGGGAATATTTCGCGTACCAATTTTATCAAATTTCAGTAATATGTAGTATTTTTTTTGTCGGAACTTATTGTCCAGTTTGATTTTTTTTTGTTCAAATTATATTAAAAGTAAAATATCAAATTGTTGGATAGTGTTTCGGAACCGAGGGAGTACAATGAAAAAAATAGAAAAAAAAAATGACAAAGGAAGAGAATCCTTCTCCATAATGTGTTTTTGCTTACAAGCTACATATATAACAAAGTCTTCAAATTCATTGGCGGAATTGAAAAGCTCCAAAAGAATAATAATCATAAGCACAACAAATATCACAATTTATTTAGCCAAAAAAAAGGCAAAGATATATTTTATAAACACACAATGAGAAACAAAATCACATCCTAATGCCACAATATGCACCAACTAAAGGGACCACAAAATAAAAAAAAAATACTAAGGAAAACTCAAAGGTACAACACATAGGCAGCCTTTAATCATAGAGAACCATACACAAAAACCTTTCCTCCATCCCCAGTTAAAGCCTTGTATTTTTAAAATGCAGACTACATAGTTCCTCTTTTTCTCTAATATCTTAATATATTTGTGTATTAAATACTCTCTCTGTCCCAAAATTTTTGTCCAGTTTGAGATTTCACTTCTAGTACAATTTGAACTAGAAATGAAAACTCAAACTAGACAATAATTATGGGACGGAGAGAGTATATGAAAGTCATAAAATATAGAACAAAATTTGTAATGTAGTCCACAAAAATGTAGAACCAGTTATCTTAAAGTTAAGATAATTTTTTTTTTTACATAAATAGCATTTATTATCTAAAATGATTAAAATTAGTAATTCACAATTTAATCATCACTCACCATAAAATAATGTTTTATATGAAATACAAAAATTACAAAGCACCCAAATAATAATTGTATAAACAGTCAAAGCGATTGAGGTCACAAGCGTTTCACTTCCCTTCTTATTCTAATAGTTCATTGTGTTCGATGGTTAATTGGTTATAGCATATAAAAATAAATTATAAAAATTATACGAAATACAGAAAATGTTGTAATATTGTTTCTATTTACAAGTAAGAACAGAAAAAACAACAAATAATACAAAACAGAGGAAAAGAAAAAAAAAAGTTGGGGGTTAATTTGCATTTCTTAATCCCTCCACTTTATAGAAATCAACAACACAGGACAATACTACAGGCTACAACAGCACATCATGATGGACTACAATCAGAGAAAACTCCCCAATCTCTCTCCAATTAGGCCATCTCTCTCTTCCCTATAACATTATGCACTCTTGGTAGGCCTTTTGGTACTACCAGAAACCTCATTCATTCATTCAATTCTCCCAAGTTCCTGGCTTTCCTCATCACCCTATTCCCCCCTCCCTCTTCACATTCCAAATTGCACTCTCACATTGTTTGCTGATGCCATGAACTAAATATAGAAGCAGCAGTAGAAAATCATGAATCAGAAAACTGGTCACATAAAGACAGCTGATTAGGATAACTGCTCTGTTTTTTTTTTTTTTCCCCTCTCCTCAAATCTCATCGTTTCTTGTATCTTGTGTGTGACTGTGTGTTTGGGTTTTGGGGGCAAACGCCACACAGAGTCACACACTTGGCATTATCTGCAACAAGATTAGGAGGAAAGAAAGGAAGAAACTTCTAGTTGAGCTGAGAAAAAATTAAAGGGCCCAAAAAGATGAGTATGGAGAAAGAGAAGGATAGGAAAATGTTTGTTGGGGTTGTGTGGAATTGTGCTGCTGAGCTCAAATACCTCCTCACAGCTCTTCTCTTCCTCTGTTCTTTCGTTACCATTCTTCAATTTCTCCCCGCTCGATTCTCACTCTCTGCTACAGATCTCCGGCCTTGCCTCAACACCCCACCATCTCCGACCACCATAACTTCTACCACCACCATCTCTTTGTTGGAGAGCCGGAGCAATACCACGACGGCGACGGCCACCGCCGTGACTACTGCCACCACCGATTCACAGCCGGACCACCTTCCCCTTCCGCCGCCGGCGCCGCCCGCGGCTCAGAAAGACCAGGTTCTTGAAAATGGGGTTGTTAAGAGGGCTTTCAATCCTTACGGAGCTGCCGCTTACAACTTCATTCTCATGTCGGCTTACAGGGGCGGTCCCAACACTTTCGCCGTCATGGGTTTGGCCTCCAAGCCTCTTCACGTCTTCGGCAAGCCTTCCTATCAATGCCAGTGGGTCCCAAAAGGCGGTGCCGATTCCTATAAGCAAGAGAGTGAACCGATTTTTACAGATGGTCAGAAAATCCTCCCAGATTGGGGATATGGCCGGGTTTACACCGTTGTGGTTGTGAATTGTACTTTTTCGGCCATCCCAGTTGTGGGTGGTGGCGGCGGTGGTGGTAAGTTGCTCCTCCACGCTATAACCAACGGCGGCGGTGATACCAACTTCAATTTGACGGACACGATTGAGGCATTGTCGGAAACAAGTGAAGATTTGAAGAAATTCGACGAAGTATACAAGGCCAAACCCAAGTATGATTATCTGTATTGTGGGTCGTCTTTGTATGGGAATTTGAGTCCACAAAGAGTGAGGGAATGGTTAGCCTACCACATTAGACTATTTGGTGAGAAATCCCACTTCGTGATTCATGATGCTGGTGGTGTTCATCCCGGAGTTATGGAAGTACTGAAGCCTTGGATGGAGAAAGGTTATGTGACGTTGCAGGATATAAGGGAACAAGAGAGGTTTGATGGGTATTATCACAATCAGTTCCTTGTGGTGAATGATTGTTTGCATCGGTATAGATATTCGGCAAAATGGATGTTCTTCTTCGACGTGGATGAGTTCATTTTCGTGCCCAAGAAGAGTACTCTGAAAACCGTGATGGATTCTCTTAAGGATTACACTCAGTTCACTATTGAACAGATGCCCATGTCTAACAAACTCTGCTTAGCTGAGGATGCTGGTAAATCCTACAGGTATATCCACCCTTCTTCCTTTTTTTTTTTTTTTTTTTTTTTTTTCCCTTTTCGGTTACTATTGTTTTGTCATTGCCTGCTGTATTTGATTTGTATCTTTTTCTCTTTGTTCTTTATTTTTTAGGTAGGTAGAATGGCTTAATAAAAAAGTAACGCTACGGTCTGATTGAAATTAAATGTGACCATCTCAAAGTGTAGAAGAAACCAATCTTCTAGTAATTAGCGCAGTTGAATTTGTTAATTAAGCAGTTGGAGAAGCTGCAGATTGGCAGTTTTGTGGGAATAACTTTCTTTTAAAACAATGCACGGGCTAAGATTTGGTGTGGTCCTTTGTGCTCGAATTGATATAGTGTGATTGATTTATCGTGCTCTTGAGGGAACTGGAAGAAATACAGAAAAAATCACTCGAACTCTGCATTTGGCTGTCATCTTACTTCCCCTGTTTTTTTGTGTTTGATTCAGAAAGTTAGCATATACATGGAATCCCTCTGTTGGAAGTTACTTTGCTTTTATTAGTGCAGTCTTCAGGGTAATTACTGCAGGGTGACTACTACCTCAGATGGCTTAATTAATTGTTTTTGATAATTTGATGTTGTGGGATATGTCGTATTAGTAATTAGTGTTCGTGTTTGGTTATCATGGATCCTCTGTTTTCAATAATTGAATTGAGTTTGGAACTATTAGCCTGTAGATTCGTCGACTCCATTCATTGCCTCTAGGGGCCAACTGGAAAGTGGGGTTAGTTATATAACTTCTGGGGTGGCCAAGGTTTGTTCTTGATACCCGATTTTTGCATGGAGGAGATCTAGAAAATCACTTGCTTTATTTGTCAAAATCAGTAGGAAATTTGTTCAATCAAAAAATATATGGCAGATGTTGCTTTCATTTGTCGGCCTACGTATGAAAGTGTTGATGACTGGGTTGATTAAGAATTTGACTCGTCTATGATTAAATTCTCTAGCTGATGTGAGCGGTTGGAGAAAAACATCTGTCAAAGTAGCATTGATTAAGCGTTGATTGTCGCTTTAACAAATCTTTTTTTTTTTGTTTTTTTTGATGTTTATATTTTTGGTTAACATGTGTGATGTGCAATGTATTAGTTTATTTGTTTACAACTCATGAAATCTGTGTAATAGCATTTGAAAAAAGGTCAAAACATCTTACCAATGTTTTTCTGTTGTTCCAGGAAATGGGGATTTGAGAAACTAGTGTACAAGGATGTGAAAAGGGGAATTAGGCGAGACCGCAAATACGCCGTGCAACCGCGTAATGTGTTCGCCACCGGAGTTCACATGTCTCAAAACACGGTTGGGAAAACAACCCACAAGACGGAAGGCCGGATCATGTATTTCCATTACCACGGCACCATCGCTGAACGCCGGGAGCCCTGCCGGCAAGTGGTCAACACCACTGACATCAACATCGACGGCACCCCATACTCTGTAGACACTTCCATGAGGATCGTGGCTGGATTCGTGAAGAGGTTCGAGCTTAAAATGATTGGTTCCGTCCTACAGAGAACGCGGCAATGAAAATCAAAAGCTTCCGATGTAATTCTATTTAATTTAATTGTTTTTTTTTTTCCACAAATCTTGGTCGGATCAGTAGGCGAATTTTGGTGAAGTTTGTCTTTGTAAGATAGCTCGCTCTCTCTTTTTCTTCCTTACAACAATAAATTTAGATATGCTGCATATAGATTAATACGAAAAGGCTGTATATGATTTGGGTATAGAAAGAGGATTGGAATTCTTTCATGTGTTCTATTCATTCATCCTTTTTAGTTTCTGTACAATTTTTTTTTTTTTTTTTTTAAGCACACAAATCTTGGCTGGAAATTGTTGTCGGTTTGGTGATGGGAGAATCGCTTTTTGTCGCCACCACTGGTGAAGCGTGTTGCGCTTTGGTCCTTGTTCATATGCTCTCACTATTCATTATTACCATTCCCATTCCTGCCAGCCAGCCAGCTCTGTAACTTATTATTATAGCGGAAAAAGAGCCCTGCCGTGGTTATTAGTTTATTTACCCATTTTTGGAGAGCGATTTTGACAGCATTATGCAACATGCCCACACACACACACACACACACAAAAGAAAGGAAAATTTATGAGCAAATTGAGGGTCATTGTCATTTGTCCAGGAGGTGGAAACGAGCTTATATTTGTAGAAAATTAACTTATAAGCATGGGAGCCTCCTTTTAACTGTTTCATGAATTTAAGAACAAAAATCCAGGTCACTTTCAAATAGTTGAAAAAAAAAGAGGGAAAATATGGGCATTAGTTAAGGGGTCATGTCTTCATTTCAATTCATTGAGTAGCCTAATTGAGTAAGAACTATGGACATATTGCCAGCAGAGTAAAGTCGGAAATTAATGAACCATAATATTACACCCAACCAAGTGTTACCCAACGCTTTCAATTCAATTGAATCTTTTCAGTTCTTGTTTGTTCACTGTAGTCTGAATTTTTAATCATATCTTTTAGAATTTGATTTGCATAGGCAAATTAGTATGATTGGTGAACATGGAAGGTTGTCTTGCGCAAGTTAGTTTGCCTTTTTTTCTTTCTTCATTTCCTAGATGACGCTGGATTGCAAAGATTTAATCCGGGAATCGGTGCATAGTTTTAGCTAAAGAGTAAGATGTTTTCACCTTTTTGACAAGTCAAAATCGGAAATTATGCGTGACAGAATGGCCTCCCTCACCACGTATATCGCATCCAACGAATCCAATAATAACGAAGGAGGGCCCAACAAAAGTAAAGGACCCAAAAGGAAGAAAGGGGGGAAAAGGCCATGATGCTTGTCTTCTTTCCTTTATTATTTATTTTCCCTATTATTATTATTATTTTCTTTTCTTTTAGTAGTTTCCAATGTGTAGAAAGAAAGAATACCCAAAAAAACAAGGGTATTAACAAAGTCAAAAGAAGAGTACCCTTTTTCGAATTTTTAGTGACATTCTTAGCTTGGTGGTGCAAAATAGTGAGAAATATACTATGCCATCGCACAATGAGGTGCATCAGCCTTTAGGGTTTTTTTTTTTTTTTTTTTTTAAAAAAACAGTTAAGCAAAATGGATGTTTAGTATTTTGAGACTGATCAAGTAGTTAATTCATTGTCTCGTTTGGTTAGGAAGAGATCCTTAAAAAGGTCTAGCTGTGGTTGGAAGCAAAATAAAAAGCAAATCCTATAACTATCATTTTTATGTATGGGTTCACTTTTGTCCTAATTTGTGCATTGGTACTTTGGAAGCTTGGGAATGAAGACTGTAAACACTGGAAAAAGGGTACTCTTTTTTTTTACTTCTACTTGCATTGTACTTTAATTAAACCATAAAAAAATGTGGGACGCAGGAAAATAAATGTACAAATGGGAGTTCAATTTTTGTGTCAGAAATTCATTGGCTATTAGGATGGGTCTGCTTTCAAGTCTCTCAACTCAAACTTCGTGTTAGATACTTAGATCTGGAAGAGCAGATCTGCAAAACTATTTGTGTCGGTAGAAGTGATGTGAAGTGATTTTTTTTTTTTCTTGCGTGCGTGTGTGTGTGTGTGTGTGTGTGTGTGTTTTCCACTCTTTTATTAAACATGAAAGAGATCTTTCTAGGGAAAAAAAGATGTGAGGTAACCACACAACGGTGCTAATATGTGCGTTCCTTAGTAATTGTCCACACCAAATAGCAACAAACACAGTTCGTTTACGTGTTTTGGGATTTTGCTAGTGATGTTTATATGCATCTTTTGTCGTCTTTTTCTGTTTGACAAAGAATTGAGATCGACTTGGTGGTGCAATAGTAGTTCCGAAGCAATTTTCATAATTTGGCTCCTTCTAAATTTGGAATAAATAGCACATTTTTTATCCTATAGAAATCATGAGATAATCATAAATATGTAAACACATACGAATATCAGATAATCATGCGAGTTCATTCCCATTCGACCTGGAGGATACTTGTACATATAATTTAGTTGACGGTAGAGAAAGTAATATGGAGGGGAAAAAAAAGTCAGATAATCAGTGTCTATGCCAACAATTCCAACAATTGAGGTGTGAAACTCACATAAATTACTAATAATATATACTCTTTCCGTCTCATAATTATTGTCCAGTTTTACTAAAATGAAAGATTTTATTTTTGGTCAAATTTAACTATATTTTACCTTAAACAACCGGATATACCGGGACAAAATTTTTTAGGAAAAGTGGACAATAATTATGGGACGGAGGGAGTAATATTATAGTATTTTCAAACCAAGTAAAAAAACAAAAAAAAAGAAGAAAGCTAAATGTACACAATTTTGCATCAAAATTTTAACGTATCTTTACTAAAATAAATAAAATAATAAGGGTGCGACCTCACTTACATGTCCTATATCTCTCAATCACTGATCATAATCAATTACAACTTCATCAATGATGTTAAAACAATCTATTAGGGCATTAATGTGTGAAGAAATTAAGTGCGTTGCGGAAATGAATTACTCACAAAATTACCATCTTAAGCCGTTTCTAATATCATATTTTTTCAGTTTGAAACATAACGTGTAACACGCATGGCTCTGATTGAAAACACACGATTTGGACATGGTGGTTTGCAATTATTCTGGAACTCATAAGCCTCAAAATAAGAATCTTATGTCAAAATAACACACTAATTAAATATAAATTTTTGTTTTGAGACGTATCATAATCTTTTCGTCAATGCGACATCATATTAAATCAAGCTCGCTCTTACATTAATTCATTCTCCTTCGTCCCATTAGTTTTCGAAATTGAAACTTGTAGGTGTGCATGGTCCCGAATCTTGGAATAGCGGTTGACGTTTGTCGTCGCAACTGGGTCTCCAATTCTTCATAGCCAAGAAGTAAAAGAGGGGGGGTATGCACATATATGAATTGAATTCGTGTTATTTCCTGCAAATTTCATGCTCTAACTAATTGAATAAATATATATGGTCCCCCATATTGTTGTATATATATATAAGTTGAGAGATCCTTCACCAAGTTCACTGCTTGGATGTTGAACCATTGTTTGGTTGTCGATCGATGTGGGACAATTCAAATCAAATGCAACAACGATAACCCATTCCCAAAATCTTATGGACTTGTCTCTTCTTCAACGGGCTTAGATTTTTTTTTTTTTTCCACCAAGGTAAAATTGCTTTGCTTTCATTATTTCTCATTTGCCCTTTCCTTTTCCCTACAAAGTTTTGGCAAAGTATATATTTGAATTTGAATGATCAGGAAATGGTATATTAACAAAAATTATAAGGGATATATTTCACTACTAAAGAAAAGAAATTCACATGTTTGTTCATTTATTTTAATTTAATTTTTTTTTGTTGGGGGAGGGGTGGGTTTCTTCGCAAAGAAATGAAGGCCGACATGCATGATAGTGATGGAAAGGGTCCTTATACGGACATTTGTACTAATTATGACCGGTACTGAACTACAGGTGGTAATTAGCTATTAATTTCTTTTCTTGTGATTGTAGGGTGCCAAATTTTGATACTTTTGTATCAAAACCATTTTCCCCCTCTCACCCTAATCATCCTCGCACAGTTATGTGATTGCATTAGACAATAGAGTTAACTTTTTTTTTTTTTTTTCACATACTCGCTCTGCCTCAAAATCAAAAGATTGTTTATTGGACTAAGATATAAGAGACCTACTCAGCAAAGGGAATTGTGTTACCATTTCGGTTTAATACATTGTAAAGTACTATTTGGAGTTAAATAGGTTTAAATGTAAGTTCCTGCCAAGAGTTCAAAAATGCATTTATAGTTTAATTAATAAAGGTAAAAAATTATTCGATTCGATATGTGTAATAGGATCGGAGGAAATATTTCTCAACAACTTAAGTTGACTGATAAAGTATAAACAGTCTGGTTCAGTAAGCTATTTTAAAAAATCATTGTGCAAAAGACATAAGACATGGCCTCATGGTCATGGGCATAATCAAGGATAAGAACCACTCTAATGTTATCCGGATAGATAGTACTAAATAAAATTAAAAAAACAAGCATAAATTAAAAACAGTAGTCCTTCCGTCCCAAAATTATTATTCAGTTTGGAGTTTCAATTTTAGTTCATATTGTACTAGAAGTGAAAATTAAAACTGGACAATAATTTTAGGACTAAGAGAGTATCAATTAACTTGTTAATAATGATGAGCAACCATACCGCGATTTCAGGCATTTAATAGAAAGATTCATACTGATGATATTTGATATTTATAACATAAGTATTGTTTTCCCGTAACTCAAGATTAGTAGTAATATTAAAACACACGAGAACATGTGACGAGGAATGAAGGTTCCTCGATCCTCTGATGATATCTGGTCTGGGGATGTTTCTAGCTGGATAAGCATCACGGTTTGTTTTTAATCATTTTTTTAATAAGCAGGGAATATTAATCCTAGCTGGCTAGCTTTAACGTTAAATAAGCATTCTTTAAGTCATCAGTTTTTATACCACTTTAATAATCTCCTCCCTCACACAAAAAGAATTTCAACTTGTAATTTCTTTTTCATCAATTTTGGTTATTTTTTTATTGTCTTTACTTTTCATGGAAGCATAATTATGTCGTGATTACAACAAAAAGAGAGACCTAATTAAAAAGATTCACCACCATGATGGCATTGGGAATGATTAATTTTTTTTAAGGTGGGAATGATTAATATTAATTAACATTTGATTTTATGGTTTCTTTTTAAAATTCCAGTTCTTGTGCGCACAATTAAGTTAATTAATTTAATCCCTCAAATCTCGATATGGTGGTACCAAATCCACCTACAATAAATGGTGATCCTGTAATTATTTAGTACAAATTTTTTTTGGTAAATAAACAAGGCCAGAAGGCTACTCAATGTACAATAATTATTTGTTGATTGATTTAACAAAGTATCAAATTGCAGTTGAATTAATATTGCATCTAATAAAATAATTACTCTAGCTAATACGTACATTTGAGCATCTATGATCATGCTCTAGAAAATTTGAGATACACCTAGTAGCGACATCAAAACAATATAACCCTCTATCTATATTGAACGTCTCCTTGGCTAACGCATCAGTACAATAGTTGTTCTCCCGATAAATATCTATATTTAGTATAAATCTGAAATATAAATTACTCTTTCTGTAAGGAAATTATATAAATATTTATTGAATTATTAAAACAAATTTTTAGGACAAAGTAATTATATTTTGAACGAGAAGAAGTATTACACAATATATTATTGTGCGAATCCACCAACTAATTGGTAAATCCTCTCATCCACTACTTTTATATATATATATAAAATTTTATGGTATAGTGATTTGAATGAACCATTCAATTAAAACACATCCAATCAAAACATAACATGTCATGCGCAATAATGGGATGAGAAGCATTCAAACAAATTTCTTTCTAATCCCTAGCTTGTTATCTATAGTACTTAATTAAAGCAGCAAACAAAAAGGACATGTGTCAGCACTATAATGAAAATTTTCCCGCCAACAGCCATTTTCAGTACAAAATTATTTTTGACACGTGATACTCTAACTAATCAGAAAAAAAAGATAGAATAGATATATACATAAATCCCTTAATTATAGCTACATAAAAATATCTTAATTATAAGTATATACTAATCCCTTAAAATATTTAGTTGATAAAATCAAATGTAAGAAAATTTCCTTAAATCAAGTGAAACACCAGTAATGTCTTCTTAATACCCAATTTCAAAGAATTTCTTCCATTCCGCTCCTCTCTCACACCCGGACATTTAAATCAATTACTTAAAATCTGACATCAATGATCAATCCATCTCTTTCTACAACAGAAAAAAATAAGTTGTCATTAAAGAAATTTGATTTTTTTAAGAATTTTTTTTATTCTTCTGTTGTAGATATTGGTCTATGATTTATGTAAACCTGGCCGATTCTCTATCTAATTGTCTAGATCTATGATTTTCGCCAGGTTTTACCAAATGCTACCACAGGGCGGTTCCCTCAAAGTCTTGTTCATCAATGAATCTCTTTGTTACTTGATCTAGCCACTTTACAAAGCACCCATAACTCATGACTAAGCATATCCTAAACCTAAAGGGGTGGATTGCTCTAATTCGATTAAGTTAAATATGTGTAAGGATGAATACCCATAGAAGGAGCCAAAGAAATTTGCAGAATTAGTAATTTATCCACCATTGTTGTCTTATATTCGGGACCAAAACTAATTTTAGATAAAAAATACTAATCTAGAACAAAAATCAACTTGAATTCATCTCTGAAAAGTGGAGAAAGCAATAAATTGTTTTGTAATGGAAGCAACATTCCACTGACAAAAAAACTAAACCATCATTCTAACTTTGGAGCAAACTATACAGATTCCTCTGAATTCTACTCACGTTTGTATTGCTCTTCGATTTAAACTAGCTTACCGGTGATTGACGAGGTCTTCAGTGGAATTAAACGTGGAGGGAATTTGCAGAAATAAGAATTGGGAAAACTAGGAAAGGGCTAATTTCTACGTTGAGAATGATGTTCAATTGTTATTGAATTGTTTTATTAGCATAAAAAATCTGGACAAAGTGAATATGTCAGAAATAAAGTAGTATTTTACGTTGATGATGAGTAGGAGTTCGTTGAAAAAATTATGTGAGTTACAAACTAACATCGCAGTGATCTTGAGGAAATAGGATGCTTGGGTAAAATTCTGAAATTTTCAAAATATTTTTCTTTTTGCTGATTAAGTGAAAATGATCCAGTGAAATTGGTTCCACCAACTTCTTAAACATAATTATTTTAATCTAATAGCTGTCATCTTTCCTATTTCATCTTAGGATTCTTAATATATGACTGAATAATTCAGTCGACTGGACCGTAGTTACTCCCATATATAATATTTATATATAGATGCTTTATTAATTAAGTTATTTATTTTTCATTTTTTACTTTTTAGTATACACAAGCAGATAAGGCTTAATAAAGCCAATAAATAGTAGTTGTGCGGCCACCTTAAAGTTAAAAAGGAAAATTACGAAAACCCTACCTTTCCCCTCCAATATAGTTCTTATTCAAAACCCTTATCGATCTTCTCAATCTCTTTTTGTTGTTGAAAATATCTCCAACCCTCTAATTTCCCAACCTGCGTGTGTGATACACATATGACTGGTGTTTCCTTTTTATTAGCCTCCTTCATCGAAGCTTAATTAATTTGTTTGAGGATTTTGTACTTGGATTATTAGTACATAATAATGGCAGGAAGACGTGGGATTGTGATGATGTCTGGAGATCAAATTCAGGGCGAAGGTGAAAAAACGTCCTCATGGGCAGATGCTCCAATTGACATCCTAAGTTCAATACTTTTTCTACTCTTATTTAGGGACAGGATAGGGTTTTCGGGAGTTTGTGAAACCTGAAGATTAATTATATAAAGATGAAGTATCTGATCGCCCATATTTGTTATACCCTAACAAGTTCGTCCATCCTCCATACAATGCCTCGTCCGAACAGCTTATATTTCCCTGTTTGTTCAATCCAATGCAGTTCTTACAATAGTGTGTATGATCATTTGTGTTGTACATATCAAAAAGGCCGAACATATTATCTTAACTCATTGAAATTTGGTAACTCTTTCCATCCTTTATAATCAATTCCGGCCCTCTTAAAATGTTGCTCGATGACATCAGACAACAGGAGAAGGGCACACTGATGAGTAATGCAAAAACAAATAGAAAGCAGTAAGATCACAAACTAAGTGAACTGATTGTTGAGTTGTTATATCAGAATTCCATGGATGCTTATCTTATACACTGCTGCCTTCCACAAAATTTTGATTGTTGAGTTGTTATATCAGATTTAAAGGAACTTTATTAGCTGCATAGTCCAGTCCATCCACCATGACAGGAAATCCATCTGTGAAAATTACATTTATTGGCCTAACATGTTAAAGAAGTTGTTATGATGACCGAAAGCTAGAAATTAACTTAAAAGAGTGATGTCAACGGTTACCGAAAAGAATACATTGACCATGATCGATCACTATTCCTCAAGATCATGTACATTCCTCAGCAGGTACAGGAAGCGGCTATAGCGAACATCATCCTGATACTTAAATCTATACATGTTTTCGACATGGATGTAACGAATTTCATAGCTTAAGGAACTTAAAAATTTATCTTGTTCATCTTTCCTTGGATGAGACCATTGATATCTTTTCTCTTTGATGCTCTTCTCTTTTAAGTCAACATATAACTTTTTTGAGTGATTAGAATCTAACAATAAAAGTTCCGTCGTTGGTAAAACGCCTGAGTCTTCACAAAGAGCTAATTTGAGCGAGAGCTTTTTCGGGAAACGAATCTTCTCTTTGGCCAAAACTTGCGCGTCTTCTTGACATTCCCCGAGCAACCAAATTTCGGTTGGATGCTCAACTCTTTCAGCATATACATGAATCGGAATACATGCTAAACAGCCTTCTAAAACAAGCAACCTCGTACGACAAGTTAAACTTTCAGTGAACTTTAAGGTTCGGAAAACTTCTCTCCCAACATTAAAAGCGACGAGGTAAGTTATCACACCCCAATCATCAAGAACAAGCCAATACATGTTACCATTGACACACGCGCGAGAAGCGCCGGGTACTAGGTGAATTGTCTGAGGAGGATCCATTGTTTTTCTCCACAATGAGTCCGACCCAATTGTATAAATTGCACATTTTAGTGTCCCAAGTTCCATATAAAGATTCAAAACTTTGTATTCTCCCGTCAACTCATCAAAACCTATCTCTAACCGACCTACAAACTTAGTTGCAAACTTGGGAAGGTACAAAATCTGTCGTGTAGTAATGTTTAAAACTAAGGCATGACCTCGACCTTTGTGAGAGTATAAACACACCAAACCGTTCATAGGTGGAGAAATTGAAATCCTGTCTCTAATCGAATTTATGGGAGTTTTCAGTTTGAGATGTATTGGAGGCGGAATTGTACAGCTCCGCCTTCCATCATGATTCTTAAAACTCACGATAATTCTATCTCCGTAGTGCCAAAAAGCGACTAAATAGTTACCTCCGACCCGGAATCGAGAACATTTTCTGTGTGTTTCGGTGAATTGGGGATCAGAAATTGTGGAGTTCCATATCTTGCAAACGCACTTGAACCGAAGGAGGGACTTGACTGGAAGCCTTTTCAGCACTTCAATGATTATATCATGTGGGATTTCGATGGAATCTGAAATCAGGCGCCGTTTCTTCATCGTCGACCGCAATGTATGTATGATGAGATGGACAAGAAGTTTTGTTATTTGCGGCAATTTAATTTTCTGATTCGGCCTTCAAACTCTTCACTAGCTTGAGGACTGAATGGTGTGAATATGAAGTGATTGTGCCAGGACTCTACTGGTTATTTGCATTCCAGTTTCGGAGGAAATGAAACCTTAATAAAGCAATACTACAACTTAAATTTTTACTGTCTGAAAATAATTGTCATGTTTTTAGTATTAACAAAATCAGACAATTATTTTAGGACAGAAGAAGTAAAAGATAAGAAGCAAATCATGATCAAAGTGATTGACAATGATATTTTGATTTTAGTGTGTTGGAAGTTTCATAGCAATTTACAAAATAGTTACAATATTATTAAACTAAAAAAATTTGCGATACCTACAAATTAGTCTTCCGAAATAACCATTTTTAACTCAGCTCAAGTTGGTCAAGTGGGATGGAAACATATAACAACATTGTCATCTCTTCCAAAGAATTATCGTTCATTCCCACCGTTACAAGTTGCCGTCTGGCAGAGGAATCTTGTTTTTTTTTTTTTTTTAACCTTTTCCCTACTTCTACTTGACAACCTTCGACAAGAATTAAGTTTCTCAATTCTTGGTAGCTTTAATTGATATCTCTAATTTAATCTATATATATTGACATATGTAAGGTCTAATTATCATGAAAACTGCTGTGAAACTAATAATTGGGATTTATAAGCTCTGAGGATTATAGTAGTCCAAACACTTACAATTTACTGTTTGGCATGGCCTTTTCCTTTATTTTCCACTCCGCTTCAAAAGCGAACCTCAGCACCTCTCTTCAGTCCCAACCCCCAAGTTTCTCAGATTATTTAATGAGATGCTCAATATTTTCTTACTTACATAGTACTGTGTGTCTCATATCTAATAGGTCATTTTGTTTTATTGAATTACTTTCAAAATGGGACGCAGGGATTATTTTTAGACTAAAATGTCTAAATAGTCCTTTACATTTAAACCTATTTGAATTTACGTCCCTAACATTAACATTTCAATATCGTAGTCCCAAACATTATGTTTTCGCACTTTTTTGGTGCCATTTCACTCTTTCCGGCCGTTGACATGCCTGAATCAGGGGTATTTTTGTCTTTTAACTTAATTTGAATTTTTATTAAAATTTAAATCATTAAAAATATTTTAAAATTAAAATTTCATTATTTAATTGTTAAAATATTATTTATTAATTAAAAATATTATTATATAATTTTAAAATTCATCATTATTTTCAAAATTACTTCTTTCATTTACTATTTACTTTAAGTACACAGCAAATGGTAATTATGTTGCACTTTTAACTTTGAGCCCACTGTAACTTACAAAATTTATCAAATTACAGTAAATAATTTTAAATTCAATTATTTTTTTTTTAAAAAAAGAAAAACTAAGTGTCTTTTACTCTGACCGCTACGGTAAACCCTAAATGATAATTATGTTGAACTTTTAACCTTGGGTCCACTGTAACTTAAAAAATTTACCGAGTTACAGTAAATAATTCAAAATTCATTTTTTTTAAAAAAAAAGTAAAACCAATATTTTTTTTTACTTTAACCGCTACAGTAAACCCTAAATGGTAATTATAATACACTTTTAACCTTGGACTCACTTTAACTTAAAAAATTTACCGAATTACAGTAAATGATTCAAAATTTAATTTATTTTTTTAAAAAAGAGCAAAAGAAAAACTAAGATTTTTTTTACTCTGACCGCTATAGTAAACCCTAAATAGTAAATATGTTGCACTTTTAATCTTGGACCCACTGTAACTTAAAAAATTTATCGAGTCCTAGTAAATAATTCAAAATTTAATTTTTTTCTAAAAGAAAAAGGAAAACCAAGATTTTTTTTTCTCTGACCGCTACGTTGCTTTTTTAACCTTGGACCCACTATAAGTAATTGACCGCTACAATAAACCCTTATGTTGCACTTTTAACCTTGGACCTAATGTAACTTAAAAAATTTTCCGTGTTACAGTAAATAATTCAAAATTCAACTGTAGTGGTCAAAGTAAAAAAAAAATCTTGGTTTTGATTTTTTTTTTTTAAATTTTGAATTGTAAATTTTTTAAGTTATTGTGGGTCCAAGGTTAAAATTGTAACATAATTACCATTTAGGGTTTACTTTAGTGGTCAGAGTAAAAAAAATGGTTTTGCTTTTTCTTTTTTTTTTTTAAAGAAGTTGAATTTTAAATTATTTACTGTACAGTAAATTTTTTAAATTACAGTGGGCATAAGGTTAAAAGTACAACATAATTACTATTTACTTTAACCTAAGGTAAATGATAAATGAAAAAATTATTTTTGAAAATAATGTAAATTTTAAAATTTTATAATAATATTTTTAATTAATAAATAATATTTGAATAATTAAATAATGAAATCTGAATTTTAAAATATTTTTAGATTTAAATTTTAATAGAAATTGAAATTAAATTAAAAAATGAAAATACCCCTGAGTCCGGTATGTCAACGGCTGGAAACAGTGAAATGTGACCAAAAAAGTTTGAAAACATAATGTTTGGGACTCGGATATTGAAATATTAATGTTAGGGACGTAAATTCAAGTAGACCCAAATGTAAGAGACCGTTTGGACATTTTAATCTTATTTTTATGGTTGCCTGTTCCCAAAAATCAATGCTGGACTACAACAAGTTTCAAGTAATCGGCTTCAACTACACTCCCAAACTTAATCCGAGATTAACTACTACTTTTCCATAGGGAAACATTTTACATATTTGAGTCAAGGTGCAAAAGTGTTTAACCATTTCTACAAATTGTTGCTACAAAAACCAACTCAACTCAATAATACTACATCGAATAACCGATTGCTATCTTCTCAACTATTTTTCAATTTTTTCGTGTCTTGAAATGTTCCTCGTTGAACATAGACTCAAAATCTTCAAACACTTCCAGGGAGGAACATCATTTAAGAGAGGAAGTACACGAAAGACAGCGGAAAGGCAATGATGTAATTAGCAAGAACTGCAAAAGCAGGAGTAACTAATGTTCACAAAGCAAAAAAATCCTGTCATATAAAAAAATACATAAACTTTACGTGGTACTAACTGTCTTTCTCTACATGTTTACTCAACAACTCAAGTGTTATATATGCTCGCAGATGTCATGGAAGTTTATCAGCTGGATAGTCCAGTCCATCAACCACGACATGCAATTCCACGTAATCACACCGACATCAAGACCGATTCTCCATCTCTGTTCTCAAAATAATTGTCTAAATACGACAAAAACATCACTCATAATATAAACTAAATGATTGGCCGGGAGAGGAGTAGCCACCAACTAAACAACAAATGAAATAAAGTAACGATCGAATCTAAACAATAACACATTACTCATTCCAATTGAAAAGCTGTAGCTTAAGTTGACCAAATAAATTGATCGATCACTGCGAACCAAATATCTTAAACTATTCGATTCTTCTTTTATTTCAACCCAAGTCCTTGAAAGAAGGTCATTGATCAGCTAGCTAGATAGTCCGATCAATCCACTATATCACTGGAAATTTCATCTATTCTACCAAGACTGATCTAACGTGTACACAAGTATCTAGCCATGACAAGAGGCAACAAACAAAACAGAATTGCGACGATCAGGAAGTTTTCACGGTGGTGTTGAACATCATCCCTATTCGTGTTGAATATGAACACGTTTTTGACATGGTTATATGTGTCGTCGCGTAAGCTGCGTTGGTTACAAGGTTTCATTTGCTTGTTTGGATGGGACCAAAGATATCGTTCCACTATGGCTGTCTTCTTGTCTAAATCGAAATAAATCTTTCTGGAATCATACAAGTCAAACAAAAGCACCTCCCCAGTCGGCGAAACTCCCCAGTTTCTACCATCAGATATTTTCTCAAAAGGCACTGTCGGAAAACAAATCTTCTCTTTCACCACAACTGACTTGCTCTTTAGGCATTCCTCTAGCAACCGAATTTCAGTAGAACCCCACGGAATGAGTGCTAATCTGCCCCCTATATCAAGCATCTTAGCACGACCAGCCATCTTCGCAAGGCAAGGCAAAGGTCCGCGAACAGTAAAGTTCGAAAAAATTCTCTCGCAACATCAAAAGCGATGATGTAGGCAATACCCCTCGCGACAGCGAGCCAATACATGGTACCATTGACACGAGGGCGAGGATCAGATAAACTGATGCCTCTGTTAAGAAATAATCTAGGTGGATCCATTGCTTCCCTCCATGATGAGTTGGTTCCATTAAGGGTATAAATCGCAGCTTTTAGTACGTCATTTTCCCAATAAAGACGTAACACTTTGTATGTTTTAGTCTTATCATCAAAACACAGAAATAAATGACCGACATTTGTTGTAGTCTCGGGAAGCTGCCGAGTAGTAATGTTTAAGACTAATGAATCGTGATCAACACCGTTGTTAGGCCCATAGTATAAACACACTAAACCGTTGAGAGGACGAGAAATCTTTAAGTCGGTGCTGTGTTGTCCATTTAGTTTGAGTTTTATAGGAGGCGGCAAATTAAGCCACCACGGCCTTCTACAATCATCATCGCAGCGCCAAAAAGTGACTAAATAGCTACTTCCCAATAGGAATTTGGAACGTGTACGGTGGCTTTCGGAGAATTGGGGGTTGCAAATTATGGAGTTCCATATATAGTTTGGAAACGCACCTGAGTCGGAGTAGAGACTTGGACGGAAGTCTTGACCAAATTTCGATGATTATGTCATGCGGGATTTCCACTTGGTACTCCGTCGACATCTTGTGCCGTTAACTTCTTCGTCGATCCGTCGATCTCAATACATGTATGATGCGGCCCTTTCAAACTGTAATTGCTACTAATTCTTTGTATAAAATTATATTTCTTGCCCTAATTATATTTTGTATCAAAATCCTACCTTTTGTATACAGAAAAAGAATTAGGAAAAAAGGAGAGAGTCGGTTAATTTGCACCCCCAGTTTTATAAGGGATTGCCTAAAAAGAAAAATAAGAAAACGAAACCTTAATTAGAAAGGAAATAATTGTCCGGAAAGTTCAACGGGTTGACTTGTTTAATTTTATTGAGTTTTCTTTTTTCCTTTACTAAACCTGATTATGTACTGCGTAAATGTCGCTGCGGTATTAACTAGTAGCATATTATAGGAAAAGTTTGAGTACAATAAAAGGACCGAGAAAAAAGGAAAAGTTTGAGAGTTTATGAAAAGTTCACTCGAGTTCTTGCGTAGAAATTGGATTGGAAAGTTGTTATGTGACTGAGGGAATGTCGATAGTAAATTTTATTGTTATTCTGTGAAATGTACTAGTGTGTATTTTAGACCTTGACATCCTTTACTGTAAAAAAAAAAAAAAGAAGAAACAAATGATTGTATTTTCGCTGACTTAAAATTTGTTTATTCTTTTTTTTTTTTTCTGTAAAGGAATTTTTTTTCGTAACAACAACATTCATAAAAAATTGGTCGAACGTCTTGGTTTAAGAATTCTTTTTTCTTTTTGATAAAAAGGTTAACGAGAGAAGCAATTAACGATTATATCATATGCATAAGCACATATCGAAAAACAATATGGAAAGGTTAGAATCATAACACATGGAGTGCTAAATTACTATGATCTATGCCTACTGCTGAGTACTGCATGATTAATACGAACATATTCACACCAAATGAGAATTTTGATAGAATATCTGATCTTCTGGGTAACAAATCTAATCTTAAGATGCAAAGGACGAACTACGACCGAAGTTTTATACAAGGAAAAATTATCTAGCAAGTGGTCAACCTTAGAAGTAAGGCAGCAAAAATCAATGAATTAAAATCATTGAGTCGACTAACTCGTTAGAGTACTTGATTGACGAAATGAAATTAAGGTCAAAGAGAAATTACGTCGACCTGTAAAGGTTGAGTTAAGGCTGGAGCATTACTTATCTATTGTTAACCTGTAAGATTGATAACTATTCTCTAGTGCAAAACAAAAACTAAATTATCTCTACACCTACTGTTCGTTCTCTTTTCTAAATGAACTTGAATCAAGAGTAAAATTACGATACCAGGAAAAGCGATTCGTGTCGTCAGCCAACTTAATTGCTAGTTTTCCAGGAATATTTCAGCTGTATCCACACATAATACCTGACAATACTGAAAATGTCTTTTTCTTTAACTCACTAAGGGTGGCAATTATGTTCATTCTCTGATGGGGTGTCAAGCCACACAAATAAAATAACCTACTTCAAACTACTGTAATATAGGGAAGTAAGGTCGTCTCCTCAGGGAACGATGGATTGTTTCCTTCAAATTAATGCAAAGGAGATTTTTGGATTGTTTTTCTAAACTAAGATAATGAAATACAAATAAAGAAAACTAAATAAAAGAAAAGAAATCAAAGTAACAGACTTCTGACTCAAGGAACGGATAACTCAATTATTTCATTAATCATAGGCTACTAAAACTACTCTTGCAATTTAAGCATTCAACCAAAGATCTATTAGGATAGCCGTAATAAATCAATTAATCTCCCTAAATTAACTAACCAAGCCTAGCACTCAATTAATCCTTATCATAATTCGGCTGGGCACGATAGCGTTTCATACCAAACAATGATAGCATAAAAACCAAGGAAATATAGTTGAACCAAAATCTAAACAATTGAGATAGCTAGAACTATTCAGACTTTGACTCATTGATTCCACATTTAAACTAACATGCATATTCAATGTCTCACCAATACACATGCTTTGTCTAATTGCTACTCAGTACTTCTAGTTCTTGTCTATTACGTAACATTCAACTAGCAGATAGCACTAGAAAATAAATAACAAATCAAGTTGTCAATTTGAATGATATCTACTTTCATAAATAAAGACAAGAATCAACAAATACTTAAATCATAGGCAAGAACAATAATTAAGAACAAAACCTCATAATGGAATAACTGAATAAATCCCTTGAATCAGAAAAGAAAACTTAGCCACTCATAGTTGGAAGTATGACGGTTCGATTCTCCATAGAAAACAATGAAAATTCGGGAAAAACAAGAGGTGGGAGGTGCTAGCCTATGGCTACTCACACGGCTGCCCACAAAACATCACTCAAATTCTTTTTATAATAGAAATTTAGGTCAGCCGCAGGAAAACAGCAATTATTCCACGATTTGCATCTTTGGTCCCTCAAGTTTGCAGTATTTTTACTTTTGCCCCAAAACTTCTTCAATTTTGTATTTCAGTCCTTGGACGTCCAAATTAATCCAAATCAGCTCCAATCTCTTATTTCCAACTCCTAACATGAAATAATAACAAAACCAATGAATTAAATCCATCCGAGTCCATAAACTAGTAAAATATCAACAATTAAAACACAATTTATGGACTCTATCAAATTCCCCCACACTTAAAGTATGTTTGTCCTCAAGCATTAAAGAACATAGGAATTCTAAACTTTCTCTTATTCAAGATGCGCCTTAGAAACTCTAGCACTCAAAAGAAATCATGGTAACAGTGAAACAAAAATTCACAACCAAGTCAAATACATTATGTACTTTTACCCTTTAGCTCTTTGTGTGTGTGTGTAGACCACTTCCTAGGGACATCAATATCACATATAGCATAAAATACAAAAATTCAAATGCAAATATGCCACTGAAGAGTGAACTTAGGATCCTTAATTCAGACCGTACTTCAATGCAATGTTACTCCTACAAATATTATGAAATCGAAGGCTTACAATTACACCTCACATAATACAATTCAACGCACTTCCCTCGTACCCATTCTTCGGTGTCCATATGGCTTTTCTTCAGGATCTTTCCCACTCAGGCCCCTACCCAGAGCATTTTTCCACTTGATTTATGTAATGATTTACATAGTGGCTCAGCAACTTAGGGCAGTCTACTTACTCATATTTTCTCACCGACGGGCCTGAGGACACTCTGCTAGTTGTTTGCCAAACTTGTAACCTATCAATGGGCTAGCATCAACATTGAATGCCCGTCCTTTTCTCCCTCTTTAAATTGTACCTAACCTCAGAAAAGCATCCGCCAACAACCCCTCCCCCACACTTACTTAGTACAAAGTACTTTAAGCAAGAAGGTAAAAAGGCTATTTTCAAACCACCACTTCCCCGTTTTCCGGGTTTGAAGTGATGATAGGGTTAATGCCTTATTTTGAGTTTCATAATATAGTAAGGTCCCACATGCAAATGGTACAAATACTGAATGAATCAAATCAAACTTTGGCATATCGGATGAATTTAGGCAATTACACATACATGTTAAGTTTATCCCAGAGTTATGAATAAAGTGGGCAAGTAAAGTATTCAGGGTATAACACATAATGCATAGACTCAAAAGAAATTTTTTGTCCCAATGTAATTAGATTTCTTAGAGTCTCAAGTTAAGTTCATCATCGGCTATTTTTGGTATTTTTTATTTTTCTGACTTTTTTTTTTCATTTTTCAATGTTTTTCTTCTTTTTTTTTTTTAAAACATAAGCAAACATTAAAATTAAAAAAAAACAAACAGAGAAGAACACCTAAATCCCCCCCACACTTAGAACAAACATTGTCCACAATGTAGCAAAAGATATAAAAAGGAAGAGCAACACTTCCCTGAAAAATGTTTTTGGTGATGCTGGTGCGAAACAACAGTTGACGAACGATGATAATAGCAGTAGAAGCTAGCCAATGATCCAATTGAAGTTTGGTTTGCCCGATTGCAACTTTGGGATTTAGGGTTCCTGGAAAAGAACAGAAAAGGAAAAAAACAAAAATAAAAATAAAATATTTTTGGGTTTTTTTTTTTTTTAAAAAAAAAAACGAAATAGGGAATGCCATGTTAGACGTGATCACATCTAAGGCGTCGTTCAAATCTGACCTGGACAACAAAACAAGCGTTAAAAAAAAAAATCAAACACTTATTTTCTTAGGTATAATCACACCTAAAAAAAAAAATAACACTTGCAAAAATTAATCCAGCAAACCTAAAATGCACCTATCCATGATCATGCTTACAAAACACTATTTTTCTTAAAACATTAAGCACACATTAAAACTCAACTCCAAATAACAAAAAAAAACGAACTAATTTTATTTTATTTTTTTTTAAAAAAAACCTAGTTTAAACACTTTGGGTTGCCTCCCAAATAGTGCCTTTCTTTAATGTCTTTGGCTAGACAAATTCCATGCGTCTCAAGGTGGAAATTTTGAAACTTCACCTAACAACGGTAGATAAAATCTTGAGCAACATTCAAGAGAGTAAAAGTTAGATGGACCAAATTCATGTTTAGACATCGTCTCAACAAAATGAGGTGGAAAGTAGGCTCCTCTAATTGATTCTTTAAACACTCCAGATCTATCTAGATTTTCTAAAATTGAATCTATCTTTATCTCTATTTCAGGAGGTCGAGGAAGATGCCCATATGCACAATCTAGAGATATAGGTGGTGGTTTTGACTCTAGTATTGGAGATTTCCATTCATCAATTATATCAGCAATAGAACATGGTAGAGTAAGTATACCTGGATCATTGCATTTGGAAGAAAGTATTAATTGTAACATACCAGATGCATCTTCTCCAACCACTACCTCATTCTTGGAAAAGTCCTCCATCACTCTCTGATTAGGCTCCTCTATCTTTGGCCCTACTGACATATCTGAAAAGAAGTATCGGTTGCATTAGTTTGACTAAATAAAATGGAAAGATCAATTATCTCATTGTCATCCAATGCCTCGATTCATTTTCTCTACTTCCTTATGTACCAAATCTTCGCATTTTG